TTTTTTTTTTAACTTGGTTTACAGTGCCAGATGTGAATTCCCTCCTGTGGAACAGACCTGAAAGCATTAATGGTTACTCCGAGTAACACACTTGCCACTATTGCACCAGTGGGGATATCCTGCCTTTCTAGTCTGTAGTGTTACATGCAAAGTTCACAGATGACTTTGTTTAAGAGTGAGCTTCACCTTCCCGGCCTGGAGAGATGGTTCAGCGGTTAAGAGCACTCGCTGTTCTTGCAGAGGACACAGTTCCAGGATTCTCCAACACCCTCTTCTGACCTCTGCAGGCATTACACAACACAGGTACACTTACATACATGCAGGCAATACACTCATACATATAAAAAATAAGAAAAAAAATTAAATGATTCACTTTTTTTTTTGTCTTTTGAGGCAGGGTCTCCTTGTATCCCCAGCTGGCCTGGAACTCACTATGTAGACCAGGCTGTCCTCGAACTAAGATCTGCCTGCCTCTGCCTCCCAAGTGCTGGGATTAAAGGTATATGCCATCACGCCCGGCAAGGATTCACCTTTTAAAAGCTTTTCAAAGGGGCTGGAAAGATGGCTCAGTGGTTAAGAGCACTGACTGCTCTTGCAGAGGACCGAGGTTTGATTTCCAGCACCCACATAGCAGCTATGAAGTGTCCTTAACTCCAGTTCCAGGAGAATCTGAAGCCCTCTTCTGACCTCCATAGCATTGCATGACGTGGGTGCACTCACATACAAGCAGGTAATACACTCATACACATAAAATAAAAATAACAAATAGAATATTTTTTAAAAAAGCTTTTCAAGGGCCAGATGTGGTGTTGCATGCCTTTAATCCCAGCACTCAGGAGGTAGAGGCAGGCAGATCTCTATGAGTTCCAGGCCAGCATAGAGATGGGAGGCCCTGTCTCAAAAAGACCAAAAAAAATGCTTTTCTACATTATTTATTTGTGTATGGTATGTATGTGTGCACACACAAGTGCACATGTGAAGGTCAGAGGATAACCTGCAGGAATCAGTTCTCTCCTGTTCTGTGGGTCCTGGGTGTTCTGTGGGTGCTGGGGATTGAACTCAGGTATTCAGGCTTCAAAGAAAGCACTTTACCCACCAAACCATCTTGATGGTCCTATTTTTTACTTTATTTGTAATTTTTGACTTATGTATTTTAAAATGTATTTATTTATATTATTTTTGTGAATGTTCTACGTACATGTAAGTGCACTACATGCATGCAAACCCGAGGAGGCCGAAAGATCAGACCCTTGGACAGACTGTTGTCAGCCACCAAGCTGGGAACTGAACTGCGGTCCTCTGCAAGAGCATCAAGTGCTCTTAACCACTGAGCCATCTCTCCAGCCCCAGAATTATTTCTTACTCGTGTGTGTGTGCGTGCGTGCGTGCGTGTGTGTGTGATGCAGTGTCTCATGTGTCATAGGATAGCTGGCTTTATATAGAAAGGATAACCTTGATTTTTTTTTTACCTTGCAGTGCTAAGAATTGAATTTAGAGTCTCACTCGTGATAGACAAGCACTGAACTATAATCCAAACCACAATGCTGATCTTCTGATCCTCCTGCCCCTAAGGTCCCAGTATTGGCATGTGCTACCACGCCCACTTTATGTGGTGCTGCATGATTCTGTGATGTTGCACATTTGTGAAGTGCTAGGGATCAAACCCAAGGCCCTTTGCAAGCTTGGAAAGAACTATACCAACCGAGCTATGGCCCCAGCCCTCCTCTTATTCCTTCTCACTTCAAATTCTATATATTCATCCTACTTAACTCATTGTCTTTCTGTAAATGTTGTTCCCATTGCCTAGGATTCCTTTTTACTTCAAGTTACTTTAAATGAATTTTTAAAATTTATTATTCTTTTTTTTTTATGTGTATGCATGTATTGCCTGCATGTAGGTAAGTGCATCCATGTCGTGCAATGCCCACGGAAGTCAAAAGAGGCTGTCAGATCCCCTGGGGCTGGAGTTACGGACAGTTGTTGGCTGCCATGTGGGTGCTGGGATTTGAACCCTGGTCCTCTGGAAGAACAACCAGTGTTCTTAACTGCTGAGCCATCTCTCCAGCCCCCTAGTTCAAGTTACTTTAGGAATTAATCAGAAGAATCCCTGTTGCCCCAGGATGGGCAGAGTATCCTGCTTGCTTCCAAAACAGCTGAGTTGTTTGAATCGCATTGCTCTGTTGAATCAAATTTCATGGCATTTTCTCCTTAGTTTAATTTTCTATTTACTTAAACTTGCTGGTAAACTCTTTTAAAGGCAGAAACAGAGTTAACACTTAAATGAAGCTGGGTGCAGTGGTGCATGCCTGTAATCCCAGCTCTTGGAAGGGAGAGGCAGGAGAATCACTGAAAGTTTGAGGCTAGCCTGGTCTACAAAGCCAGTTCCAGGATGGCTAGGGCTACGTAGCCAGACCATTTCTAAAAACAAATAAACTTAAACGAATGTATAGGGCATAGCAAACTTTGAAGAAATGTTCAATAATAGCTGTGTATGGTAGTATACTCTTGTAATCCCAGCACTCAGGAGGCTGAAAAAAAAGATCACATCTTCTAGTGTAGCCTGGGCTACAGAGCAAGACCCTGTTTCAAACAAAACAAAACGAGAAGGAAAAGGATGGAGCTGGAGAAATGCCTCAGCAGTTAAGAGCACCGGCTGCTCTTGTGGAGGACTCACGATCAGTTCCCAGCACCCACATGGTGGCTCACAACTGCCTGTAACTCCAGTTTCAGGGGATCCAATGCCCTCTTCTGGTCTCCATGAGCACTGCATGTGTGTGGCACACATATATACATGCAAAGCACTCACACACAAAGGAAGAAACAGGTGTATTACAGATCAGAGCAAGGATCCAAAGCTAGAAGTGGCAAGAGAGTGTATAGGCATGAAGAAGGGTCGGACATCAGCTGCTCACACTTGAGTCCCAGACCCTGCACTCTGTCCCGTGTTATTTAACAAATGTTGCTTAAGTTTCCTCACTGGTAAAATTATAGAGTCAACAGTTAAATAAATTTGGATGTGATGGTTCGCATCTATAATCCTAGTGCTTGAGAAGCTGAGGCAGGAGGACTGCCCTGAGTTTAAGGTCAGCCTGGGTAACATAGTGAGTTCCAGGCCAGGTTAGGCTACAGTGTGAGTCACTATCTTCCAAAATTATTTTTATTCCCAGAATTTTTTAAATGAATACTGAATTTCTTGGTGCCCTCTTTAGTGTGCACTCCACTTGAGTGCCTCATTTTCCTTACACTAATCCCTTTCCTGTCTGTCTCTTAAGTTTTTGACATATTTACAGAGTTCGATAAATATTTGTTGAATTTAAATTTTATTATTAATTAATTAACTAATTTTGGTCTTTTTGAGACAGGGTCTCCCTGTAGCCCCAGCTGTCCTGGACTCACTATGTAGACCAGGCTGGCCTTGAACTCACAGAGATCTGCCTGCCTCTGCCTCCCGAATGCTGGGATTAAAGGCGTGCACCACCATGCCCAGCTTATTTATTTTATGTGTATATATGTGTGCCTGAATGTACATATGTGCCCCACATGCATTCAAGTGCCCTCAGAGGCCAGAAGAGGAAATCAGATCCAAGTGAAAGTGGAGTTATACCTGGTTGTGAGCAGCTGGATGTGGGTGCTAGAAGCCAAACCTAGGTCCTCTGAAAGAGCAAGTGCTCTTAACCACTGAGTCATCTCTCTAGCCCCTATTATTATAATATTATTAATCTTTTTGGTCTTTTTGAGATGGTCTCCCAGTAGCTCCACCTGGCCTGGAACCCACTATGTAGACCAGCCTGGCCTTGAACTCATAGAGATTCTCCTGCCTCTGCCTCCCAAGTGCTGGCACTAAAGGCATGTGCCACCATACCCAGCCATTCCTCTATTATTTAAAAATTAGAGGGGAGGATTGAAACAGGGTCTCTCTGTAGCCTCAGCTGGCCTAGAACTCAGCTATGTAGCCCACAGTGGCGTTGAACTCACAGAGATCCTCCTGCCTCCACTCCCAAGTGCTGGGATTAAAAGTGTGCACCACCATGCCCAGCTTTCACTTTATTTTTATTTATTAATAATCAATTATTATTTATTATTTTTATTTATTTATTTTGAGACAGGGTCTCTCAGCAGCACCAGCTAGCCTGGAACTTGCTATGCAGACCAGGCTGGCCTCGATCTCATAGAGGTCCCCCTGCTTCTACCTCCTGAGTACTGAGACTAAAGGTGTGTACCACCATTACTGGTTTACCTGCCTTTATTCTTGAGAACAGGTCTCACAATGTCATTCAAGCTGGCCTTGAGAAAGTCCCTGCTTGAGAGACATACCCTCCTTGTCTCAGCCTCCTGAGTAGCTGAGACTACAGATTCTCAGACTCAGATTATGCCTGGTCTCCTACATTTTTAAAAATTGTGGTAGGTACAATTTGAACAAGTTTGTGGTTGCTTGGCATTAAATGTAGGGCCTTCCTTGCATATGCTAGGCAAGTGCTCTACCACTGAAGCCTTTCTCCAGACCCTTAAACAAACACAGACAAATACTAAGTGTACTGCTGAGGTCCCTAACTGTTCTTAAGGTCATGCTTAGCAGGGCAGCGCATCATCCCCTAGCGCTTCAGGCATCCCAGAGATGGCTCTGCCTTATGACCTTCTCAGCGGCTGTTTCCCAAGCTCATTTGCACGCAAAGCACACACACACACACACACACACACACACACACACACACACAGCGGCTGAGTTCAAACTTTAAGCAGTATCTCTTCAATCAGTTTCAAGAAGTCTGATAAAAACATACCCACGTAGAAGTTGGAAAAACAAAACAAAACAGAACACATTATCCTAGAGGCGGTGTATGACGCAAATATCCGCGCAACCTCCAGGAGGTCCACTCTAGAACAGCAAGCCCTGAATCGCGCGCAGACGCTGCTGCTAGCCTCCGGGTGGGGCGTGCGGGGGGGCGCTTTCCCTTGCCCTCTCGGCACCCTTACAGTGCTGGGCTGAGGTTTCCGGGACTTCCGCTTTCTACCGGAAATGCAGAAGGGAGTGTGTGGGGGTGGTCGCGCTGGTCTGGCCCTGCCAGGATTAGAGAACCCTGAGCTCGCGGAGGGTGGTCGGGATTCCGAGTCACGGGGCTGCACGGGTGGGTGTGCGAGAAGCTGGCGCGTGCACAGGGGCGAGAGCCTGCTGTGAACGCACATGACCTGACTCGGTACCGGGACCTGTGCGGTTGGTCTGATCACAGGCCTCAGCAGTGCTGGCTTGAAAACGTGTTTTCAGAAATGCCATTGCCCATTCTAGTCAGACCCGCTTCCCTCCATGACGTCATGCGTAAAAATGATCGATAGACGGGCCCTTTAGTCAGTTTCTGGTACTTTGGTTTTAGTTTTGTTGAGACGGCATCACTGTACTGTCCTGGCAAGCCTGGCTTTGAACTTAAAGCAGCCTTCCTGTCACCGCCTGGGACTGCAGGTGTGTCCATCTCGCCTCGTTTTATTTTTGGAAATTGGGCCTCTCTGTGTAGCCCAGGCTAACTTTTCACTACTTTTGAATGCGGTTTGTACATCCATTGTCTCATTTGAGTAGCACAAGGGGGTTATATATCACTGGCCTTTAAAAATTAATTTTTATTTTACGTGTATGAGTGTGTTGCTTGTATGTGTGTGAGTGCACCGGTGTTGTGCAATGCCTGCAGAAGTCAAGAGGGCGTAGGTCCCCCTGGAACTGGAGTTGGGAACGGTTGTTAGCAATCAGGTGGGTGCTGGGAATGGAATCCTGGTCCTTAGCAAGAACAACCAGTGCTCTTAAGTGCTGACCCATCGCTCCAGCCCCGCTGGCCATTTTTTTTTTTTTTTTTTTTTATAAGAACAAGACAGTAGGTTCCAGAGTAAGAGGTGACAGACTTCTTGAAGATAACCTTTGAGAGTTTCAGAACTTGAGACTTGAGGGTATGGTCAGATCTTTTTATGTCTGTGTCATCTACCTCAGTTTTCCAAACTAGCTGTATAAGCAAATGCTCAAAAAGTTTGGAATGAATGAGTCTTGATTGCAGGAGGCCCATGGCCCAACATATCTGCTGTGTCTCTCTACACTCCAACCTATAAGCAAGTGTAATTTTTCTAGGTGTATCCTGTGCTTACCCGATTGGGAGGTCCGTGTTCATTTCTGTTGTCTTCCACCTAATCACAGTCGTCATGGAGGCACCTCCAGTTACCATGATGCCAGTCACTGGGGGCGCCATTAACATGATGGAGTACCTACTGCAGGGTAAGTGAGCCAGGCAGCTTGGATTGCCACCTTGCTTTTTTCCTTTTTTTTTTTCTGATCAGCTTCCTCGAGATGCCTTACACAAAGGCAGCTGCACAATTTATGACACTGGATAAGTAACTTATGTTTTTAAAAAATCAGAATGGCCAGGCGTGGTGGCGCACGCCTTTAATCCCAGCACTCGGGAGGCAGAGGTAAGTGGATCTCTGTGAGTTCAAGGCCAGCCTGGTCTACATAGTGGTTCCAGGACAGCTGGGGCTACAGGGAGACCCTGTCTCAAAAAGACAAAAAAAAAAAAAAAAAAAAAAATTGGAATGAGGGGCTGGAGAGATGGCTCAGCAGTTAAGAATACTAGTTCTTGCCGGGCGCGGTGGCTCATGCCTTAATCCCAGAACTTGGGAGACAGAGACAGGTGGCTCTTTGGGAGTTCAAGGCCAGTCTGGTCTACATAGTGAGTTCCAGGACAGCTGGGGCTACAAGAAGACCCTGTCTCAAAAAAAGACAAAAAAAAAAAAAGAATACTGGTTCTTGCAGAAGACCCGGGTTCGAATCCCAGCACCCACATGGCAGCTAACAACTGTTGGTAACTCCAGTTCCAGGGGATCCAACAGCCAACAGCCTCTTCTGATCTCCACAGGCATTGCACACGGGTGCACATGCAGGCAATACACACATACACATAAAATTTTTTTTTCAAAAAAGTTTTTAAAAGAATTAAATATTGGAATGAGCTGAGCATGGTGGTACAGTGCCTTTAAAAGTCCCAGCACTTGGGAGGCAGAGACAGGTAGATCTCTGTGAGTTCGAGGCCAGCCTGGTCTATATAATGAGTTCCAGGTCAGCTGGGACTACAGGGAGATCCTGTGTCAAAAAGACCAAAAAAAAAAATTGGGATGAGGAGACTATAGAGATGGCTTGGTGGTTAAGAGCAGGTACTATTGCATAGGACTCCATTTTAGTTCCCAGCACCCACATTGGGTGGCTCACAACTATCTCTAACTACAGCTCCAGAATCTAATGCCTCTGGCTTCTGCAGACCCCTGTACATCAGAACACACTTGCACATACAGCCCCCGTAATTTTAAAAAAGTCATAAAAAATAAATTTTTAAAAATTAGGAAAAGGGGGCTAGAGAAATGGCTCAGCAATTAAGAACACTGACTGTTCTTGCAGAAGACCAGTCCATGGGATCCGATAGCCTCTTCTGTCTTCCTTGGGCATTGCACAACACAGGTGCACTTACCTACATGCATGCAATACATGCATACACATAAAATAAAAATAATTTTTTTAAATTAATTATTTAAATTTTTTTTTTTGTCTTTTTGAAGCAGGTTCTCTGTGTAGCCCCAACTGTCCTGGAACTCACTATGTAGACCAGGCTGGCCTTGAACTCACAGAGATCCGTCTGCCTCTGCCTCCCAAGTGCTGGGACTACAGGCGTGCGCCACCATACCTGGCTAGCTTTTATTTTTAATGCACTTGACATTATTGTTTGTTAGCTCTCTAGACTCGTTTGTTCAGATGGGTTCTCACTGTATAACCCAAGCTGACCTCAAATTTATGGTCCTCCCACCTGAGCCTTATGGTTTCAGGTGTGCACAGCAGATCTCTACAACTTTTTCTTTTTCTTTTTGTTTTTTTGAGATAGGGGCTTACTGTGAAGCCCTGGCTGACCTCAAGTGTCTGGTCTCATAGGCATGCACTACCACACACTTTTCATCTTGAAAATTGAAACTCTGTATTTATTAAATGCTAATTTCCCCTGTCTCCTACTCCTAGCCCTTACTGACCACCTTTGTTTCCTGTATTAACTATTGACATGCCTCATATGAGTGAAATAATTGGTTTTGTGACTGGTTATTTCACTTTGCATTATGCCCTTGAGATTCATTCTACCACCATGGGACAGAATTTGGTTCTTGACAGGGTTTCCTCTATAGCCCCATCTGGTCTGGAACTCACTATGTAGACCAGGCTGGCACTGAACTCACAGAGATCCTGCCTCCCGAGTCCTGGGACTAAAGGTATTAAAGGCATGTGTCACCACACTGTTCTTTTTTTTTTTAACCAATGTCTCAGCCCAGGCTAACTGGTTAGCCAAGGATAACTTTGAACTTCTTGCCTTAGCCTCCTAAGTGCTTGGATTATAGGCATGAGCTATCACACCTAACTAGAATGTGTCTTTTGTTGAAGGTTTGTGTTAGCATTATTATATCAATATTTATTCATATTACTATGTATATCAGTAATCTTTTGCTTTTTATTACTCAGTAGTATACTACCATATGAGTATAAATATATAAATATACCACAGTGTATTGATCCATCCTGCTGTGGGGCTGGTCACCTGGTCTGTTTCTGGGTTTTTTGTTTTTTTTTTTTAAATTTTATGTGTGTGTATTGCCTGCATGTAGGTAAGTGCGCCCATGTCATGCAATGCCCACAGAGGACAGAAGAGGCTGTCAGATCCCCTGGAACTGGAGTTACAGACAGTTGTTAGCTGCCATGTGGGTGTTGGGATCCAAACTAGGGTCTTCTGCAAGAACAGCCAGTGTTCTTAACCACTGAGCCATCTCTCCAGCCCCATTTCTGGTTTTTAACTACTTTGACAACAGCTGCTATGAACATTCTTACAAGTCTTTTGTGAACAGCTTCTCTTTTTCTCTTGGGTAGAATTAATTACTGAGTTTGATAACTACTCCTTGAGTTAAACTTAGTGACTTCAGAGAGATGACTCATATCTTTTAAAAAATGATGATAAAAGCTGGGCGTGGTGGCGCACACCTGTAGTCCCAGCACTTGGGAGGCAGAGGCAAGCAGATCTCTGTGAGTTCAAGGCCAGCCTGGTCTACGTAGTGAGTTCCAGGACAGCTGGGGCTACAGGGAGACCCTGCTTCAAAAAGACCAAAAAAAAAAAAAAAAAAAAAAGAAAAAAGGGGAAAAAGGGGGGCATGGTGGCACATGCCTTTAATCCCAGCATTCAGGAGGCAGAGGCAGGCAGATCTCTGTGAGTTCTAGGCCAGCTGGGCTACATAGTAAGATCCTGTCTCAAAAAACAAAAAAGATGCTGTTCGTGGTGGCCCATGCCTGTAATCCTGGCTCTTGGGAGTCTGAGGCATGGGAATTGCTGTGAGTTCAAGGCTAACTTGGGCTGTATAGTGAATTCTAGTGGACTAAACCATGTTGGCTACAGAAGGGGATCCTGTCAAAAAATAAAAAAGATGCTGGGTGTAGTGGCAACACACCTTTTGTCTCAGCACTTGGGAGGCAGAGGCAGTCTGATCTCTGTGAGATTGAGGCCAGCCTGGTCTACAAAGTTCCAGGACAAAGTTTGTTCAGGACAAAGTTCCAGGACAGCTGGGGCTGCATGGAGACCCTGTCTCAAACCATAAAACAAAACAAAAAAACTAAAACATTGGCCAGGCATGGTAGCACAGCCCTTTAATCCCAGTACTCAAGAAACAGGAGGATCTCTGAGTTCAAGGCCAGCCTGCTCTGCATAATTCCAGACTATATAGTGAGACACTGTCTGAAGGAAACAAAGACACAAAACAAAAATAAGTAAAAATGATTATGATACTACCTTATTTGTGTTTATTTTGTTAAGATTCGTTTATTTTATTTTTAATGTGAATGAGTGTTTTGCCTGCATGTAAGTGCACCATGTTCATGCCTAGTGCCTCTGGAAGCCAGACATTATCACATCCCCTAGAACTGGAATTATGGACAGGTGTGAACTGCCATGTGGGTGGGGGGAGCCGAGTCTGGGTCATCTGCAAGAGCAGTAAGTGCTCTTAACCAGCCCAGGTTTTTTTGGGGGGTGGAGGGGGTGTGAGACAGGGTCTCCTTGTAATCCCAGCTGGCCTGGAAGTCGATATGTAGACGAGGCTGGCCTTGAACTCACAGAGATCCACCTGCCTCTGCCTCCGGAGTGCTGGGATTAAAGGCATGCGCCACCACGCCTAGGTTTTGGGTTTGTTTTGTTTTTTTTCACATGCTGGTTAATGAACCTAAAGCCTTGCACATGCAAGGCAAGTGATCTACCACTGAGCTGTACCTGCAGCCCTTTTTCTTTTTTTCTTTTTTCTTTTTGACTTTAAGAGTCTTGCTTAGTTGCCAGGCTGACCTTGAGCTTGCTGTATAGCCCTGGCAGGCCCTGAACACGCTATCTTTCTGTTTTGGACTCTGATAGCTAAGATTACAGGCCTGGGCCACCAGACTCTTCTGAGTTATTGTTTCTGAGTCTCTACTCTGTACCTCAAGTGTTTTGCCTACTTACTTAAATCTTGCAACAGCCTATAAGGTGTTTATTAGCTCTATCCTAAAGATCAGAAAACATGTAAGGACCCAAGTGAAAAAAACTTGAGACCTAGAGAGGGTGCTGCTTTTTAGGAGGCCACACAGTGTATATTTGGTAGACGAATTTAGGCAATTTAAAATTATTTTTTCAAAGATTTATTTTTAATTATATGTATTTGTGTGTGTGTATATATAGGTTAAGTACATGAGGGGTCTCTACAGAGGTCAGAAGAAGGTATTGAGTTCCCTGGAGCTGGAGTTACAGGCAGTTGTGGGCCACCTGACATGGGTGCTGGGAATAGAGCTCAGGTCCTCTGGAGGAAGCAAGTGCTTTTAACCACTGAGCCAGCTCTCCAGTCTGTTTATTTTATTTTACGAGTAAGAGTGTTTTGCCTGCATGTATGTAAGCATACCATGTACGTGCAGTGCTCACAGAGACCAGAAAAGGGCGACAGAGCCCCTGAAACTGGAGTTACTGACAGTTGTTAGCTGCTGTGTGGGTGCTGGGAACCAAACCTGGGTCCTCTGCAAGAGCAGCCAGTGCTCCCTTTTTTGAGGGGCTGGGGGGACACAAGGTTTCACGCTGTATGTAGTTTGAGCACGCCTGGAAATCTGCAGCCCAGGCTGACTTTAAACCTGCAGCAATCTTGCCTCAGTGTCAGGAGTGCCATAATGCCTGGTTAGTAGCACAGTTTTGTCATTTACCTTTTTTATTTTTATTTTTTGTAATGCTAAGGACTGAACCCAGGGCCTTATGCATACTAAACAAGCGAGTACTGTACCACTGAGATATATCCCCCAGCCCAACAACTATTTTTATTTTGGTGAAGGGTGTTCGGATAGGTCTCACTGTGTAGCTCTAGGTAGCGTGGAATTTGCTCTTTGTAGACCAAGCTGACCTTGAACTCAGAGATATCCACCTGCCTCTTTCTCCCTGGTGCTGGGATGAAAGGCCTGCACCACCATACCTGGCTCCTAACAACTATTTAACTGATCAAGCCCAGGGCCTTACATCTTGAACATATGTTCTGCCTCTGAGCTACACCCCAACCACAATTATATATTTCCAGAAAATGAAATTCTATCACTTAAGGAAAAAATACAAAATGTCCTTTTCATGTAATATATTTAAGAACAATAAATATATTATTTATTGGGCTGTGGGCTGACAATGGCTCAGTGGGTAAGGGTGCTTGCTGCCAAGTCTGACAACTGGAGTTTAATCCTTGCGGCCCACATAGTGGAAGGAGAGGATCCCATAAGTTGTCCTCTGATCTGTGTGTGTGCCAGATACAAACGCAAATAAGTAAATGTAAAATAGGAAATGTATACATAAACTCCCATGGATTACTCCTGTGCTTTATGGAATAATGCATTGAACTGGTTTTTTGTTTGTTTAAGCTTTTGCTAATTCCATGACCCAGAATGACAGCTCAGACTCAGTGGTGCTTTTTCCTCTTCAGGAAGTGTTTTGGATCACAGTTTGGAAAGCCTCATCCACCGCCTTCGTGGTCTGTGTGACAACATGGAGCCTGAGACTTTCCTGGATCATGAAATGGTATTCCTCCTTAAGGGCCAGCAGGCCAGCCCCTTTGTTCTCAGGGCACGGCGCTCCATGGACAGGGCAGGGTCACCTTGGCATCTGCGCTACCTGGGACAGCCAGAGATGGGGGACAAGAACCGTCACGCCCTGGTTCGGAACTGTGTGGATATTGCCACATCTGAGAACCTCACGGATTTCTTGATGGAAATGGGCTTCCGTATGGACCATGAGTTTGTTGCCAAGGGACACTTATTCCGGAAGGGCATCATGAAGATTGTGGTGTACAAGATTTTCCGCATCCTGGTCCCAGGGAACACAGACAGCACAGAGGCCCTGTCACTCTCCTATCTTGTAGAATTAAGTGTTGTTGCACCAGCCGGGCAGGACATGGTTTCTGATGACATGAGAAACTTTGCTGAGCAGCTCAAACCTCTGGTTCACCTAGAAAAAATAGACCCCAAAAGGCTTATGTGATTATGAAGGTCTGTCCACCCTGGAGGCCTGTCTTCACCTATTAGACAAAAGGTGTTACAAATGCCCCATTTCACCACAGCCAGCCAGGCAGATTTTGTCCTGGAAGAAGGAAGAGAGAATTGAGTTCTTTCGCTGTTTCCTTCATATGGTGATTTCACCTTCATGACGGCCTTTTAAAATTAATGGTCTAGAATAACATGGAGAATTTGTCCAAGCCCCTCTGCCCAAAGTGTAGAAACTAGATTAAATTAGCTTTTGGAAAGAAAACTCTCCCTGGGCTTGGGGGATGGCTCGGTTATAAGCACTTGCTGCTGTTGCGGAGGACCCAGGCTTAGTTCCTAGCTAATAACATCTGTAACTGCAGGTTAGGAAGATCAGACGCCTTCTTCTGACCTCGCTGGACACCTGTCCACAGGTGATACATATAAATTTAAAAGAAACTCGTTGTTTTGCCTTTTTTCTTTGCTTTCGTTTTAGTTTTTAGTGTTTTCCTCTTTTGTTTTTTATGGGTTTTTGTTTGTTTTGACATTTGTATATAAGGTTTATGACAGTGTGAGCTTATGTTGTATGATAATAAAGGTTCTAGAAATGCTTATAGTTCTGATCCTTATTTATTTATTTGATTTTTTTGAGACAGGGTCTTCCTGTAGCCCCAGCTGGACTGGCGCTCACTATGTAGACCAGGGTGGCCTCAATCTTACAGAGATTCACCTGCCTCTGCCTTTAAATTGTATTGTTATTGTGTATGTTTGCTTGGAGTTGGGGGGGTCTGGGTTGGGGGCAGTGACACGGGATGGACACCTATGGAGGCCAGAGGCCTCCCTGGGACCCATGTGGTAGAAAAGAAAACCTGCAAATTGTCCTCTGACTTCCACATACTTGCAGTGACACTGTACCGCTCCACACACTGAATGAATGAATGTAATGAAGTTTGTTCCTTTTTCTTTCTTTTTTTTTCTTTTGTTGGGAGTGTTTAAGACAGTATCTGTAGCCCCAGCTAGCCTGAAACTTGCTATATAGACCAGGCTGACCTAAATCTCACAAAGATCTACTTGCCTCTGCCTCCTGAGTGCTGAGATTTAAAAGCATGTACCACCAGGCCAGGCCTTTTTTTTATTTTTCAAGAAAATATTCTGTCTTCTTCCTTATTTATTTGGATTTTTTTTAAGGAGCCCATGCTCCTATAAATAATCCTTTACCAGGATCCTAATGAAGCAAACTTTTTTTTTTTTTTTTTTTTTTGAGACAGGGTCTCACTCTAGCCCCAGCTGGTCTGTACTCATTATGTAGACCAGACTGGCCTTGAACTCAACAACTTTATCCACCTGCCTCTGCCTCCTGAGACCTGGGACTAAAGGCATGTGCCACCATGCCTGGCTGGTTCATTTATTTTTAACTTACACTTATTTCTGTGTATGTGTGTGCATGCCACAGTGTGGGTTTAGTAAAGGTTGGAGGGCAACTTTCTTTTCTACCATGTGAGGCCTAAGGATTGAACTGAGGTCATCAAACTTGGCAGCATGCCAGTGAGCCATCTTGCCAGCCCCATTCTACCATACCTTTTGTCTTTGAGACAGTCTCACAATGTGGCCCTGGCTGGCTTGGAACCGGCTATTAGACCAAGCTGGCTTCGAGCTCACAGAGATCTTCCTTAAAGGTGAGTACCAGCACGGCTGGCTCCCTTTCTGAGCTAAAGCCTCTGAGCCTGAACCTTAAAGTTTCATCTGGACAGGCTGGACAGGTAGGCCCCTAGCTCTGCCTATCATTGCCTTCCAGTGCTGGGGTTGCAGAAACAAGCCACCACCAGGGTGTTGGAATCCAAACTGAGGTTTCCATACAACACAGCAAACTTTTCCCACTGAACCATCTCTCCCCAGCTCTGATCTTTATCCTACAACTTTGTGGAAAGGCAAATCAGAGCTTGCTAGGCAAGCACTCTGCCACTGAGCTACAGCCCCAGTCCCTTTTAATTATCTTTGATAGGTTTTGGGCTTTTTTGTTTTCTTTTTTTCAGTATATGAGTGTATTACCTGTATATGTATAAGTGCACCTGTGTTGTGCAATGCCCATGGAGGTCAGAAGAAGGTGTTGGATTCCCCTGGAACTGGAGTTATGGATGGTGGTTAGCTGCATGTGGGTGCTGGGAATCTAACCTGGGTCCTCTGCAAGAGCAACCACTGCTCTTAACTGCTGAGCCATATCTTCAGTCCCAAGATGTTAGTTTTTAGCTTTCATAAATGTAGCATATTTGAGCCATGCCTCTTAACAAAGCACTAGGGAGGCTGTGGCAAGATTACAAATTCAAGGTCAATGTGGTCTACATAGAAAGACCCTGTCTCAAAAAAAGCAAGGATGTTTATGTGCCTGTTTGTTAGTCTTTTTTATTTTTTATTTATTTATTTTTGAGACAGGGTCTCCCTGTAACCCCAGCTGTCTTGGAACTCACTATGTAGACCAGGCTGGCCTTGAACTCACAGAGATCCTCCTGCCTCTGCCTCCCAAGTGCTGGGACTATGGGTGTGCACCACCACGCCCGACTTTAAATTTATTTTTATTTTATGTGTATGAGTGTTTTGCCTGCATGTATGTAAGTGCTCCTGTGTGTGCAGTACCCATGGAGGCCAGAAGATGGTATCAGATCTCCTGGAACTGGAGTTACAGATGGTGGTTAGCCACCATGTGGGTGCTAGGAACTGAACCCAGGTCCTCTGCAAGAGCAACCAATGTTCTTAATTGCTGAGCCATCTCTCTAGCCCCAGATGAAACATCTTAAAAACAACAAATGCCACCGGGCATGGTGGTGCACACCTTTAATCCCAGCACTTGGAAGGCAGATGCAGGCAGATCTCTGTGAGTTCAAGGCCAGCCTGGTCTACATAGTAAGTTCCAGGACAGCTGGAGCTACAGGGAGACCCTGTCTCAAAAAGACAAAAAAAAAAAAGCCAGAGGTAGCTCCTCTATGACTACTAGGCCTGCAACATTTATTGCAGTGTGCTAAATAAACTTGGGTTTTTGTGTGTGTACCATGGCACATGGCTGAATTCTCTTACCAGCTTATTAGCAAATCCCCTACACACAACAATTAAATAACTACAATCGAAGTATAAACAGGTGTTTTTTTTTAAATGCCAGGTATAGTGGCACATGCCTGTAATTCCAGAACTCAGGAGGCTGAGGTGGGAGAATACCCAAAGTTCCAGACCACCTTGGGGTACATACCAAATACCAGGGTAGCCCAGGCTATATTGCAAGATCCTGTGTCAAGAAAATTAAACACAAGACTGGATAGATGGCTCAGTGGGTAAAGATACCTCTCACCAAGCCTGCCAATCTGAGTTCAATCCCTAGGACCCACATGGTGGAAGGAGAGACACAAACCCCCAGCAGATTCTCCTCTGACCACTTCACAAATTCACAAATGCCATAGCACGTGTCCCCTCCCAATACACAAAATTAATAAATAAAAATGTTAAAAAATATATAGGTACGGGGCTGGAGAGATGGATCAGCGGTTAAGAGCACTGACCTCTTGCAGAGGACCCAGGTTCAATTCCCAGCATCCATATAGTTGGCTACGAATCGTCCTTAACTCCAATTCCAGGGGAATCTTGAAGCCCTCTTCTAGCCTCCGAGGCATTGCACGACATGGGTGCACTCACATACATGCAGGCAATATACTCATACACATAAAGTAAAAATAAAAGATATGAAAAAATCAACAGGAGAATAATTTGTAATTAAAACAAAAAATATATAGGCACAAAAGTAATGAAAAATAGTATCCGAGGAGATGCACTAGTTCTATTTTGGTTTATATATTTATATCCTAATAGTCTTTAGTTTTTGTTAGCTTGTGTATATAAGATTTATTTAGGTGTGTTTTTCTGTTGTTTGTGAGACAAGGCCTTGTAGACAGCCCAGGCTAGTCTGATACTTACTATGTAGCCCAAGATAGCCTCTAACAATAGTCTTCCTGCCTCAACCTTCTGAGTACTGAGATCATAGGAATGAGCTATTTTGCCTTATTGTTTAGGTGGTGGTGGTGTTTGAGACACAGTTATACTCCCCAAGGCTGGCCTCATACTCAATGTGTAGCTCAGGCTAGCCTCGAACTTTTGAAGAAGAGGAAGATTCTTTTGCTTCAGCCTCCTAAGTGCTATGATCACAAGTAGGTACCTCCATGACTGACTGGGGACACATAGTGAGTTCCAGGACAGCTTGGGGCTACAGGGAGACCCTGTCTCAAAAAAACCAAAACAAAACAAAAAAAAAGGATATGTGTGTGTGTGTGTGTGTGTGTGTGTGTGTGTGTGTGTGTAAAATAGAGTTTAAGCAGGGCACAGGTAGATTCATTAAAGAAAAATGAGAAAGAACTTCTGAGAGTGAGAGCCAGAGGAGGAATACAGTCTCACACAGCCCAGACTGGCTGAGAACTGAGAGCAACCTTGAACTCCTGACCCACCTGCCCCAATTCTCAAGTACTGGGATAGGAGCTGTAACTACCACATCATTTTTTGTCCTGTTTTCCTGATTACAAATGGATCCTTTACTTTTTACAGTGCCAGGATCAAGTCCAGAGCCTCATACATAGTAGGTGAATTCACTTCCTCCATGTTACACAACCCTAGCCCCAAATGGGTCTGTTTTAACACATGTAAAACACTTAGGATAGCACTAACACATACGATAACTCAATAAATGAGTTTGGGTTTTTATCTTTTTTTGATTGACTGATTTTTATTTTATGTGTATTTGTGTACTGCCTGCATATTTGTAAGTGCACCCATGTCATGCAGTGCCTGAGAAGGACAGATGGGTCATCAGATCCCCTGGAACTGGCGTTATGGGCAGTTGTTAGTCGCCATGTGGGTGCTGGGATTTAAACCCAGGTTTTCTGCAAGAACAGCCAGTGCTCTTAACCACTGAGCAATCTCTCCAGCCCCGAGTTTTGGGTTTTTATTTGCTGTTTTTCACAAGAGTAGGCTGTAATTATCTAAAATTATAGTTATCCTGAAAAATAATAATAATAAAAAAAAGATTACAAAAAAATTTCCTACTAAAATATGTGGTCAGTAGCTTACCGATCTTCATGCTAATCCTGTCTGCTTTCCTGAGTTCTGACTCAAAAAGTATAACTTTTCCTTTCTCCCTTTCTATCTCTTCTGTGAATACCTGTCACCGCTCTAAACTGGCTTGCCCTGACACTCTGGGCTCTCTATTTTCTCTGAAGAGCTCTTCCCCAGCTTTCTACGGGGGCTTGCTGACCTCTATTGTTGAACCTGCCTGCTTTCTCAGACCCTAACTCAAAAAACTTACCTTTCTTCCTCTTCTCCATTCCCCTCTTCCCAACAGCTGCCAAGATTCACAGCTTAACTGTCCTTGTTATTTTTCTCTCAAACACCAATAAAACAGTCTTTGAGTTTAAAAAAACAAACAACAGAAGACCTGGAAAAAGAATATGGAATATTTTTATAAAATAAATCTCTTCCAGGAGATCTGTAACCTGTATTATAAAATAAATAGATCTCTTCCAGGAGATCTGTAACCCTGGGGCTACAGGGAGACTCTGTCTCAAAAAGACAAAAATAAATAAATAG